CCCACTGAAACGAAACTTTTGCTCCTTTAAAAAAAGCATTCCATATATAGTAAATAATGACTTAGGTGATTTCACCATTGTGCTAACATCACAGCATTTACTTACACAAACCTAGGTGGTATAGCCTACAGCACACCTAGGCTATATGGTATGGCCTATGACTCCTAGGCTACAAACCTGTACTGTATGTTACTGTACTGAATACTGAAGGTAATTGTAACACAATGGCAGGTATTTGTGTATGTAAACATGGAAAAGGCATAGTAAAAATACTGTATAAAAGATAAAAATGGGGGCTGGGCACAGTGGCTCACACCTGTAATCCCACCACTTTGGTGGCTCACACATGTAATCCCACCTGAGGTGTGTGGATCACCTGAGGTCAGGAGTTCGAGACTAGCCTGGCCAACATGGCGAAAACCTGTCTCTCCTAAAAATACAAAAATTAGCTGAGTGTGGTGGCAGATGTCTGTAATCCCAGCTACTCAGAAGGCTGAGGTAGGAGAATCGCTTGAACCCGGGAGGTGGAGTTTGCAGTGAGCTGAGATCGTCACACTGCACTCCAGCCTGGGAAAGAGCGAGACTCCATCTCAAAATAAAAAAAAAAAAAAGATAAAAATGGTATACCTGTATAGGGATCGCTCCATTATACTCTTACGGAACCACCATCATATATATGGTCTATTGTTAACCGAATTTTACAGCACATGATTGAGAATGACTTACAGAAAGATCTTCAGCAAAATATCCCCCACCCAAGATATATGGGAGATGTTGAGATTCAAGTAATAAGCCATATTTGAAAGGCATTATAGTTTTTGAAAGCTGTGGCACAATCATTCTTAAGGCCAGTTACCTTGTCCCCATATCTCTGGGATCCTGTTTGAAGGGAGTTCTAAAAAGGTCTGTGTTCAAGCAGCCCAGCATCCCTAACTCCTGGGGTGGGGGGGAGACTAACCCCTCTCCTGTGTCCACAACTAGAGTAATACAGCCCTCAGTTCTCTCTCCAAACTTCAAATAAGGGGTCAGAGCCAAGGGTCAAGAGTTCAGGAAAAGCCTTAGAAATACCCTGCACTCAGAAGCAGTTTCAGAGTTTCACATTTTCCCAAGAATGAAACAAATTATCCTCCAAATTCTGCTGCTTGCTTTGAATTATGGTGACACTGGCTATGTTACCCTACCCTTGATTTTTTTTTTTTTTTTTTTTTAGGGGGAATTTTGCTCTTGTTGCCCAGGCTGGAGTGCAATGGCGCAATCTCAGATGGCCACAACGTCGACCTCCTGGGTTCAAGCAATTCTCCTGCCTCAGCCTCCCTGAGTAGCTGGGATTAAAGGCATGCGCCACTATTTCTACATGTTGGTCAGGCTGGTCTCGAACTCCAGACCTCAGGTGATCCGCCCACCTCAGCCTCTCAAAGTGTTGGGATTACAAGCATGAGCCACTGCTCCTGGCTCTGTTATCCTTGAGTTTCTTAATTTTATTTTATCTTTTTTTTTTTTTTTTTAAATTAGAGATGGGGTTTCTCCATGTTGGTCAGGCTGATCTCGAACTCCTGACCTCAGGTGATCCGCCCACCTCGGCCTCCCAAAGTGCTGGGATTACAGGTGTGAGCCACCATGCCCAGCCTATCCTTGAGTTTTTATCTCCACATGCTTGAACTACCATGTAGTTCTTCTTTCCATCTGACATCTACTATCTCTTCACTGGACCTGTGCTCCACAGCTGTTTTACCACTTTCTGAAATAAAGTTAGCAAGGATCAATTCAGAATATTTTTCATTCTAAAGCTTCCTACATATAATGGTAGCACCCCACAATGAGACATTCTTTTGGTTTCTAAAAGCAGAAAATAAGAGCATTTTCCTGGAAGTTTCCTCACCTCTCATCTTACACTTTAATTTTTCTTTTTTTTTGGAGACAAGGTTTCACTGTGTCACCCAGGCTGGAGTGCAGTGGCGCTATCATAGCTCACTGCAGCTGGAATTCCTGGGTTCAAGTAATCCTCCTGCCTCAGCCTCCAGAGTAGCAGGGATTACACCACTGTGCCTGGCTAATTCTCTTTTTTAGAGACATGGTCTTGCTTTGTTTCCCAGGCTGGTCTTGAACTCCTGGCTTCAAGCGATCCTTCTGTCTTGACCTACCAAAGTGCTGAGATTTCAGGCATGAGTCACCATGTCTGGCCTCACACCTCAGTTTTTAGTATATATATGAAATATCAACTGTGTTTGGTTCAAAGGACTTTATGATCTTACAGATAGGACCTAAGGAATAGTAGCATAAGAAAAAAAATATGGAAACAAAAATGTTCATTGATAATATAATTAAATGGTAAGGCTTCAGGTAGGGGGGGTCAAAGTAAGTTCAAATCTGGAATAGAGAACACTGAGATAGTAGACACTTCACATTAGAAGCAAGGCTAGGTGTCTACTCCCTGAGAATCAAAATTACACCAGATACAATGAACAAAGCCTCAGACATAGAGCACATTTAAACATTTTATTGGCAGAAAATGGCCCACATACACAATAGACAATACAACTTCCTTCAAGGCAAACTACAGCTATAAGGCTTTTGGTCTAAGAAGTTTTGAGGGTGTGCAACGGATACTTTTGTATACTAGGGAGAGGAAAACAACCCACACATTAGGCTTATTCTTAAAGGTTGTTACTCAGACTTGACAGTTGATGACCAAGGAAGTAAGACTTTCACTAGAAGGGCTGCCCAGGTTGGAAAGCTGAGAGCAATCAGGGCCACCTCCTACAAGCAAATAAAGGTCTGTGGTAACTTAATTAGAATCTCTCAGTCTCTCATCCTTCAAGGCTGTGAAGCAGAAGAGCAGTTCTGTTCAGGGACTGTTTGCTAATCATTAGGTTTCCTCTGGGCACAGCCTATAACATTTGCGTCATTGTAGAACTCAATAGAGAATACAAGCAATGCCATTCAATAGCATGACCACTTCCAAGGCTCACAGCAAAACAACTGATTATTGTATAAGAATCATATTTGCCCAATATGTCAGTGCCAGAGATGAAAGCTAGAACTGAACCCCTCCCCACTTTCTTTCTTTTTTTTTTAATTTTTTTTTTTTTCTAGAACTCAATTCTTGATTCAGGAAACATAATCTAATAAACTCTTCAGCAGAGAGTTTATTCAGAGAGAAAATAATAATGACAATAATAGTTGACATATTTTGTCTGCTTAACTTGTAAGTATAGTTCTGCATTTTTACATTTGTCATCTCATTTACTCTTACAATAGCCCCCATAAGGTTGATTGGATTACTAACCCCAGTTTGCAGATAAAGAGATTGCAGCTTAGAGATATTAAATATCTTCAAATCTCTCTGGCTATAAGACCTAAAATTGCATAAAAAAATCTAAGAGACAGAGTTAGGTCTCATCCATGTGTCTAAAGCTTATAATCACTATTCTGCATGATATGCATGCAATTAAAGAAGACTTGGCTCAAACTTTTTCTGTGTGAACTGAGGCAAGCCCTTTTACATCTATAAACTAGAGAAAATATTTACTGTCATTTTTTCCACAAATGTCACAAAGAACAAATTTGAGCCTGTTGCTGTGAAAGAATTCAGCATACTATGGAGTATTTTAGATATTGATATTTTTATCCAATTAGCTTTTCAAAGTGAGTTTATTTGCTCATTGAAACTGAAGTACTTCAATGATGATTAAGAAAGTTTTACAGGCTGGGTGAGGTGGCTCATGCCTGTAATCCCAGCACTTTGGGAGGCCGAGGCAGGCAGATCACAATGTCTGGAGTTTGAGACCAGCCTGGCCAATATGGTAAAACCCTGTCTCTACTAAAAATATAAAAATTAGCTGGGTGTGGTGGCAGATGCCTGTAGTCCCAGCTA